CACACGGTGGCGTAGTGGTTAGTGCGTTCGACCTCACACCTCCAGGGTCTGGGGGTTCGATTCCCACCGGAGCCATGTGAGTGTAGAGTTTGCATGTTCTCCCCGTGCTGCGGGGGTTTCCTCCGGTTTGACCTATGACCTTCCTCGCCCTCGAGCACTACAGAGCTGATGTTTTTTCGCTGTAGTGAGCAGGGGAACGTCTGGAACACACTCGTAGCGGTTCGAGAACCCTGCAGGACGTGCCTGATTCTACCGTGTAGGGCACAGGAAGCAGCGTGGCCGTTGGAGCTGAACAGGATGTGGTCAGAATGAGGAAGGAGATGGAACCACAAAAAGTAACTTCTGAACCGGTTCCTGCGGAGAACACCAGGTGACATTTACACCATGCAGAGATTTGACGCTGAGCTCCTTCACTGCAATCTTATTATTGGAGATGGCAGATATCTGACTATATCAGTGCGCTATAAAAGAACAGAAATATTTTCCACCAAAATGATTTATTTCTGTTCTTTTCTGACCCTGTGTGTGCCTTAAAGTCAGACTCTAGCTCAGTGTGATGACTGGATCAGGGTTAGGGAGAGTTTAAACACTGCTCCATCATCATCATCGTCATCACCCAGAGATGCTTACACTGACAGTTCCACTCGGATGTGGATGATACTGATAAGAATCAAGGTGAGAACTCGTTTCCTGTACTGAACTCATCATTCGTCAGTAAAGCTTTTCCACCAGTACAGCAGGCTTTAGGTGTTGAGATCTTTCAATGGAATCAGAGCGAAATCGTTTGTTAGAGCTTTACTTCTGATTAAGAAACATGCCAAAGAGAACCATATTTCAGTTCAGGAAACTCTGTAGAAATCAGAACTAAATTCTATCAAGTAGAAACCATGTGTAGGATTTTCACAAGCTGGAAAAAAAACCCCCCCACACATTATACTGAATGATGTGTCAGTGGATCGTGCGTCAGACTGTGGAGATCAGACGGTGATGTCTGACCTGTTATAGGTCGCGGACTCAGACGCTGAGGCAGCTCATCACTCTGTTAAACATTAACAGACCTAATAAAGTTCTCAATGCAAAAATCTGCAGGTCAAAAGAGGAACTTCCTAATGGACTTCTTCTTTTTCTTCTTCTTCTTCTCTCTGTCTCTCTCTCTCACACACACACACACACACACACACACACACACACACACACACACACACACACACACAGTGAAGAATAATGACCAGTACTCATTATAAATAGATATAAGAAAGTAAAATAAACAGTGAGTGTGTACCTGCAGTGTGTATGCTTCAGTAGTAAATATAACTGTGGTGAAAGTTTAGTGCAGTACAGAGAACGCGTGTGTTTGCTGTGACCGATCTCCATCAGAACCTTGTTCCAGGATGAGCTGGAACTTCACAAGCACTTTCCTGGGTGAGGAACTTTCATGAGAAACGTCTTGTTCATCTGGAAACGTTGTGTAACTGCACTAGACTTTTCATTTCTAACCCCACTGTAAATACTGTAACGGTTCCAGTCATTCAGTAACATCTGTCCTGGTTCTGGTTCTGGTTCTGGTTCTGGGTCACACGGGCCACTCGAGCATGACATTCTGCTGAACTGATGTTACCTCAGAGCGAGTCTAAAGTCAGGTTTGTGGAGCGACGTGATGAACCACACCGAGCTCCGAGATTAAACTTTAACTGTTAAACCATAGCAGAGATCCACATTAACCACACATCAACATACACACACACACACACACACACACACACACACACACACATATGCACAGCAGTGGGGTTTTTTTGCATGTTGCTGTATTTAGTATTATTATTAGCACTGCATTAACATTAATATATTTGGCAACACTTCTGAATGAATGCTAAGTGCTTACCAAGTTAGCAGAAAGTTAGTGCAGTGGCTCTTCACTAATAACTGATCAGTGTAAGAAACTATTACTACTCTTCAGAAGAGCACGGAGTGACCTCTCTCTGCTGAACATCAACAGCATTTTCAAATGGTGGAGAACCTCACCTGGTCCCTCAACACCAGCTCCATAACCAAGAAAGCGCAGCAGCGTCTCTACTTTCTTTGAACGCTGAAAAAGCCATCATCACCACGTTCTACAGAGGAACTATCGAGAGCTTCCTGAGCACCTGCAACGCTGTCTGCTTCGGAAATCACCCAAATTTGAACCTTCTCTGAGTTTAAATTTGAACGCTAGTACAAACGTTGTTTCATGAAATCTGGGAAATGTTATTGTGTGGTGAGTTCATTCAGTTGGAGGTTCAATCAGAGACTGTGGTGGGTCAGTGGTTACGCTTCGGGCTGAGTTCAAATCCCAGCCCTGCTGAAATATTGTGCTTGTGACCTTCAGAAAGACCTTTAACCTTCACCTGCTCTCGTGTACCCTAACTCAACTGTGACATGAGTAAACGTTGTGGATTGTAATTTATTTTAACTTTACAGTGACATCACCTGCACATGGATTACAGACCTTTACTGTTATATACTGCACATACAAAGGTGTGTGTGTGTGTGTATGGTGTGTGTGTGTGTGTGTGTGTGTGTGTGTGTGTGTGTGTGTGTGTGTGTGTGTGTGTGTGTGTGTGTGTGTGTGAGTGTGTGTGTGTGAGTGTGTGTGTGTGGTGTGTGAGTGTGTGAGTGTGTGTGTGGTGTGTGTGAGTGTGTGAGTGTGTGAGTGTGTGTGTGTGTGTGTGTGTGTGTGTGTGTGTGTGTGTGTGTGTGTGTGTGTGTGTGTGTGTGAGTGTGTGTGTGTGTGTGAGTGTGTGTGTGTGAGTGTGTGTGTGTGTGTGTGAGTGTGTGTGTGTGTGTGTGTGTGTGTGAGAGTGTGTGTGTGTGTGTGTGTGAGTGTGTGTGTGTGTGTGTGTGTGTGTGTGTGTGTGTGTGTGTGTGTGTGTGTGGGTGTGTGTGTGTGTGAGTGTGTGTGTGTGTGTGTGTGTGTGTGTGAGTGTGTGTGTGTGTGTGTTGTGTGTGTGTGTGTGTGTGTGTGTGTGTGTGTGTGTGTGTGTGTGTGTGAGTGTGTGAGTGTGTGTGTGTGTGTGTGTGACACATTTAACTCAAAACCACTGCTACTGCTCACTTCCTGTCGGTGTTAATAGCGTGTCTACAGTACACTACACTAACACATCATAGTGCTAATGTAAAAGGAAATGATTCTAATACACAGTCTACTGAATATAATGTGCTGAAGTGTTGAGTTATGATCACGGTTGTAATTTCCTCGATTTCTGCACGCTAAATGGTTTCAGATCTCCAGACGGAACGTAATATAAAACAAAGAGAAGAGGAAACAGGCCCTGAAGCAGCAAACCACCTCCTGACCAACACGCTACCACCACCGTGTTTCACTGTCTAGATCACGCTCTGATTGTGGAATTTATTGTTAACTTTACACCAGATGTAACAGGACCATGTCTCCATAATGTTCTACTTTCAACTCATCAGTCCACAGAATATTATTCTAAAAATCCTGTTGTTCGTCAAGGTGTAATTGTCCGATGGTTCTCTTTGCCAGCAGTGGAAACTCTCCCATGACTCATCAGTTTTGCCCAGTGTGGTTTCAGGGGTTTTTCAGGGGTTGACAGGCCGTAATGGATAATGAATCTCACTGTAGTTTCCTGGAGTCCCAGAGACATAACTTTCTTTTTCATCTTTTCAGTAATTTCTTATTTACTCATAGTTCATTTCGTAAATGAAACATCAGTGTGAAATAGTAGTGATAGAGTACAGTGTATTTGTGGAACTTCATCAGCAACAGTTTCACTTACAGCTTCCTGCTACCTCTTTCACTTTCAAAAGTTGGTGGAGATGGAGATGGAGGAGGAGGTGGAGATGAAAGTGGAGATGGAGATGGAGATGGAGGAGGAGGTGGAGATGAAAGTGGAGATGGAGATGGAGATGGGGTAGAGGTGGAGATGGAGATGGGGTAGAGGTGGAGATGGAGATGGAGGAGGAGGTGGAGATGAAAGTGGAGATGGAGATGGAGATGGGGTAGAGGTGGAGATGGAGATGGGGTAGAGGTGGAGATGGAGATGGAGGAGGAGGTGGAGATGAAAGTGGAGGTGGAGATGGAGATGGAGGAGGAGGTGGAGATGAAAGTGGAGATGGAGATGGAGATGGGGTAGAGGTGGAGATGGAGATGGGGTAGAGGTGGAGATGGAGATGGAGGAGGAGGTGGAGATGAAAGTGGAGGTGGGGATGGAGATGGAGGAGGAGGTGGAGATGAAAGTGAAAAGAGAAAAAAAGAGGGGGAGAGGGGAAGAAGGAGAGAAAAAAAAAAAGTTTTGTTTTTTTTGTGGTTTTTTTTTTTTCAGTGATGAGGTTAAGTTCATGTGTACTGATGGCAGAAGTCCCACAGTAAATCAGACTGAACTCAAACACCGGGACGGCGAGGACGTCAAACTGTACTGCTGTGCTGATGCTGCTATTAATGTAGTACCATATTATAGTGACCCGTGTGTAAGTGTGTGTGTGTGTGTGTGTGCGCGAATGTGTGTGTGTGTGAAAGTCAGATTTGTGATGACCCAGTTACACTGCTACTCTGTGGGATGAAATATTCCCCTTTCTGTGTGTGTCACGGAACAATTTTTCATAACCACTACCAACAACAAAGAGAGAGAGAGAGTGTGTGTGTGTGAGAGAGAGAGAGAGAGAGAGAGAGAGAGAGAGAGAGAGAGAGTGAGAATGCAAGAGAGAGAGAAGATAGAGAGAAGAATGAGAGAGAGTGAAGAGAAGTTTCAGGTGTTCAGTAAGTCTAATCTCATGTCTGATAAAAGCACACACTTTTCATGTGAAGAGCTGAAATAATGTATTATGTAATGCTTTGACTGCAGAGTGGATTAGAGGTTACATGTTCGTCTCACACCTCCAGGGTTGAGGTTTGATTCCCGCCTCCACCCTGTGTGTGTGTGTGTGTGTGTGTGTGTGTGTGTGTGTGTGTGTGTGTGTGTGTGTGTGTGTGTGTGTGGAGTGTGAATGTTCTCTACGTGCTTCGGGGTTTTCCCAGGTACACCGGTGTCTTTTCCTTCCCCACTGAAAAGACATGCGCTGTGGGCTGATTG